AATGTATGTAATGTGTTAATTATTGAAACTGTCCTACCAATTTGATTTGAAACTGTCTCATTGCTATTTGTTTCTCAATAAAATTATGGAAAAAAATAAAAATAGATTTTATATCATCAAAAGGGTTAATGTTAACATTTGACATATTTCAAAACACCCACAAGTAAATCTGAGGTTAAGTCAGTTTAGGGTGGCCCTCATAATCTCTTGTTGCCATCTTTGTGATTAAAATACATGCCCAGATTTCAAGGTGAATCATTTAAAACTACATACTCTTAACTTGTCTCTACTTCTCAGAGGGATGAAGACTTTCTTCATGTTACACAACCAAAACAAAAGATGCCAGCAGAAATAAACTGGATGCAGAGGCTGTACTTGTAACTGTTGTCTACAACCAAGTTCAACATTTGCAAGCTCAGAACAGCAGAGCTGGGAGTCTTGCTATCCCTGCCATCCTCAGCAGACTAGTTCCTGGTGGTCTTACCTTTGTCTTCACTATAAGACTCTCTGATTTCTTTGCATTTCCTGAGCTTGTTCTGTAAACTTAATATGTATTATTTCACCATCCAATACCTTTCCTATACTCACCCCCATTCAAAACAAGGACCTAAGAACAAACCAGCATTAGTTGTTTTGTTTTGTTTTTTTCTTTTTAGTGTTAGGGATTGAACCTAGGGCCTTTCACTAAGCTCCATCCTCATCCCTTTTTAGTGTTTTTTTGTTTTGCTTTGTTTTTTGAGACAGGGTCTTGTTAAGTTACACAGACTCGGCTGGAACAATGTGATCCTCTTCCACTGGCCTCCCGGACTGATGAGCTTACAGTTACGCCCCATCATGCCTGGCTATATTCTTTTTTCTTTTTACTTATATATGAAGTTAAAATTTGAACTTCAAATGTTTAGTAACAAAATGCAAGTTTTAATCTATATAATAGGGTTCAGTGACAGATTTTATTTGAAAAAGGACTCAATTCTTGTTTTTTGTTTTTTTACTTTGAGACAGGGTTTTGTTATATAGTTCAGGCTGGCCTTGAACTCACTCTCTAGCCCAATCTGGCCTCAAACTCATGGTGCTCCTCCTGCCTCAGCCTTCTAAGTACTGGAATTACAGACATGAGCCACCACACCCAGCTCAATGTCTTTTAAAATTTCATTAGAGCAGTACTTCCCTGCCTCCCTTCAGCCATCCTTTCAGGTATCTCTGTGATAAATGCATCATGCCTCAACTTATAATCTTTTAAAAACTTTTATCTAATAGGGAACCCTATAAGGTAGAGTTCAAATTCTTTGCATGAATAATAGGTCCCAAGATTTGGTAAAAGTTAGTGGGTGTGCCATCAATGTTCACGTAATTATTCAATAAAACCCAACAGCATAAAAACTAATCATGTTATATTATATCTTCCTTCAATATTCAGTGATAACAGTAATTGTTGTATGGTGCTCACATATAACTACTTCATTTACCTAAAATTATTTCCAGATATTTTATTTATTGTTTGTTTGAAACAGGATCTCATCATTATGTAGTTCAAGCTGACCTGGAACTTACAACTATCCTCCAGAGTGTTGGGATTTCAGGTGTGGGCTACCATCTCAGGCTCAGAGAGACACCATATTTATGTATGACCTCTCCAAATAAGTATAGGACAAATAAAAATAATGTTTCTTCTGAAAGCAGGTGTAACAGAAGTTAATATCTCAACAGATGTAAGGTCTAAAAAAAGGGTCTTCCTTAAGTAATAGACTGACAAGGGGTGACTGAGAACTATAAACGTGGTAAACTACAAGGACTCTGCTCTTGTGTTTAGGAGACAGATGTCTCCATGCACATGGGCGGTGCATTGAGCAACAGAGACAATGGGGTGCTGTTTTTTTTTAAAAAAACATGTTTTAAAAAATTTTTTTTAATTTATGTGTGTGTGTGTGTGTGTGTGTGTGTGTGGCCAGCTCAGCCCACCAGGGGGCGGGGCTGGCTGGCATGTGGTGCTGGGGGATTGAACCGAGGTCCCTGTGCTTTGCTAAGCTTGTTCTAAGTACGTGCTTTAGACCACTGAGCCAGCTCATCAGTCCCAAAAGAAATCTTGAAATACCGAGGTCTTAGGTCTTATTTTTAGACCCTGAGCAAGGCAACAAAGACATAAACGCCCGCACGCGAGGGCACACACAGACACAAAACCCAGCACTCTAAGGAAGCTGAGGGAGAAAGTGCAAGTTCAAGCCCATCCTGGGCAACCTGGAGCCTCATTGAGGAAAAGACCCTAAGTTGTTTTTTATTTAAAAAGAGCTGGGAAATACAGCTCAGTCAAAAGGCCCTAGGTTCAAGCTCCCAGTACCCTCCTCCTAAAAAAATGCTACAGTTCACCAGCTAATATAAACCCGAGGACTTGCATCAACACCAACTAAGGATTTCAGTAGAGCACAGGGCGGGAGAGTGACCTACCTGGGTTTCAGCTGTCACCCCCTAGAGTGATTAGCCTCTCATAGCCAAAGTGATTTAAAAAATAAAACAACTCCACCAATTCCCTCCCCAGGCCCACATTATTAAAAATCACCTCAAGTCCCAGGGAACAACTTAAGTATCCGCGCAGACGTCCCTCCCGCCTGCAAGCTGCTCTACGCCCCGACCACCTCGCTCGACGGCGAGAGGCCCTTCGTGCGCATGCGCCACCGCGCCCCGGGGTCTCCCACGCACCGCCCGCTGGGCGTTCCCCTCGCTCACCGCGGGCGGCGGACGGGGCACGCGCAGGCGCGCGCCGGAGACCCCGCCTCCTCGCGGCGCGCGTCCCCGAGGCGGCCGCCGGCGCGGGCCCGTTCTCTTCCGGCCTGCTGTCCTCGGCGCGCCGGGATATGGAGGTCTTGCGCAGGGCCCACGAGGCCGTGCTGCGCCTGCTGCTGTGGGGCCCCCGGGTGTCGGGCGCCGCCTCCCGCGCGAAGCCCCGCGCCTCGGAGGTGCTGACGCGGCACCTGGAGCAGCGTCGCCTGCCGCCCTGGACCTCCTTCTGCGTGCCCTACCGCGCCGTCCGCAACGACCAGTTCGGCCTCTCGCACTTCAACTGGCCGGTGCAGGGCGCCAACTACCACGTTCTGCGCACCGGCTGTTTCCCCTTCATCAAGTACCACTGCTCCAGGGCGCCCTGGCAGGACCTGGCCGCGCAGAACCGCTTCTTCACGGCGCTCAAGGTCATCAACTTCGGTGAGTGGGGCGGCCGCCGGCCCGACCCGGCGACGCGCGTCCCGCCGTGGGCGCCCCACTGTCCACAAGCACTGACAAACGATCGCGCCCAGGCCCGGGGCTCGGCGAGGCCGGGGCCGGGGCGCAGGGACCCTGGAATGCCTCGTGGGGTCCGCGACGCCACCGGGGCCCACCCCGGACTGGCCGGTGGCGCGGGTCCATTGTGCATCCCCATGAGTGGCTTGTGCAGCTACTGAGCTCCCCCCAAGTGGGATCTTGAGGGAGAGACCTCCCCAATCTATCATTCCTGGGAGCAGAGGACTGGCCACCTTGCTTCCTGTCCCCTGCCAAGAGAGCCCCCACCCCACCCTGCGCCCCTGCGCTGGGCAATAGGGAGGGTGTCCGGAAACATCCCCATGCACGCGAAAGTGCCTCAAGTCAAGAAGTGTCTTAATGCATATAGCAGGAGATCCTTTGACATGACAAAAACGGAAACGACGTTTTAAGTTTCTTTTTATTTTAATGTCTCAACCAAATCTCAACAAGTTTGTTTTACTAAAAGCACTGAAGATTTTCAACCAGACATATTAGCTTCCATGGGTGCTAGGCCTATGAAGTGTTTCCAAAGAGTCTCCCTTGTTCATATGTATATGTTTTCATGGAACTAATTCTAATTCTCGAATACTTTTTTTTGTTTTGTTTTGGCTTCAAGACAAAAGACAGGAACATGGACACGATGCTTTTCATAGGTCTGAGAATAAGGCCTCAAGATTTTGGGGACCTATTAATAGTTTATAGAAAATCTAGATTTCAGTAATTCACAATCTTGAGATGGGAGCCGAACTGTATTTTCCAACCAGGGTTTTAAAACCAGAATTAAAACTAAATCGTGTGCAGCTATACTAGTATTATATGATCTGATGAACCCATTAAATATGACACATGTATTTTTGCTTATAATAACTCACATATGTCACTTTGAGATTTTTGAGCCCTTATTCCTCCCACTGAGACTGTCCTGCGCTCAGTCAACTAAGAGGATTATTTAGCAATGTATAATCCTTTTAAAGGAGGCCTTATTATTTGGCTGATGGACTGCGCATAGTAAGGCCACAAGTTCAAGGTGAGATGTTTCAAAAACTCAATTCAAAATTATTTAGAAAGACTGAAGTGATGACTGAATTGCAGAAGAATGAATTTATGTTAGCATTCTCTGAATTCTAAAAATCTTACTGAAATGGAGATAGTTTTAGGTTAAGCAAAGGGAAAACTTTTTGCTC